TCCAGAAGAACACTTTTGAGTGCTACAGACACACTGCTGAAAGGCTTAGACTATGCTTGTTGATAGTGCACAAACTATAAGAAACGAAGAGAATAACATTTTTACAAAAAGTTACACTTTGTAGTATCAAGGGATCGAAGGTGGAAAGCATAAAAAAACATCAAAATTGTCAATTGAATGGATATCCACCTTAAGATTAAGTGACAAAATAAGATATATGAGATGTGTTCACCCTATTTCGTTTAAGGTGGTGGAGGACTGATAATTGAATCATCCCATAACGAAATATGACAGAGCAGCATACAATCACGACACACTAAACACTAAGCCACATTACCACGAGTGCCCTTGGATCACAGAGCAAATGAAAGGCTCAAGGAAAGCCAGACATTTTCATATATCAGATTCTGCGGCGAGATTGTCGATGAAGCAAAATTAGAAGTGCTATAGCAATCGACCATATAACTTATTTTTTCTCTGTAAATAGGATTTAGAGACTACCGGTGAATCAGATATATGAGATTTGTTCATCCTATTTCGTTTGAGGTAATGAATGAACCTATGTAAAAAAGAAAAATAAGTAATTTATTATATTCATATGACAAATATGACTTTGCTTTATCGACAATCCCTGGCCTTCCTTGATATTCATATCTGCCCTGTATTCCAAAAGCACTCGTAGCAATGCGGGACAATGGTGAACATGCCAATATTATACGATGCATTGCCATGGTTCCGCTGTGGATGTTGATCAGACCTAGACGAAGTCTAAAGTGCAGTCCACCCTGGATGAGTGCCTTTTGAGAAGCAATATTATGGAAAAGTAAATGAAAATGCAAGGTCTACCTTCCACTCATATAATTGTGGGAAAGTTCAACTGCCAATAAATCAGACCTTAAACTAAAAGAATGAGCACATCTCATATATCTAACTTACTGAGTCTCAAAAATCGACTTACAAACTAAGAATAAATAAAATAACAACAGAAAGCATATGCATACCATGTTCAATTAAATTGCTAGCCTAAACTTTATTATTAGTGAGTCCTCCAGAATGCTGCAAGTTAACTACAATATCAAATGAAATAGGAATATCGAGAGTGGCTGGTTTAGAACAGGCCCGAAAGCCTCTTTAAAGTGTTCCTTAGGGTTAAGCAAATACCTTTTTCAAGAAGATAGTCTTAGACCGATTAGAGTAAGTGTAAACTATCATGGATTGAAGTAAAATATTTTTGTCACAAAAAGAGAAATTCTAACATATCACCCATATTTACATGCACATTTTCCAGACAGTACCTGCTTCCTCGGATGACAAAAAAGTTGAATTGGACTTGAAAATCGATCCAAATCTGTCAGTAGTAGGAACGAAACTGGGTGCATCAGGATTGAGACTATGTCGACGCTCATGCCAATTGCAATTAGAGATTTCAGCAGTAACATCGGATTTGAGGCAAATTAGGCTCGTATCGGCCTCCGCATCGCAACAGATAGTGTCAGCATTGGTTATGGAATTGAATGAGATGCTTGAATGTGATGTGACAATAGTTACTGGGGGGTGAATGATAGGAAGCAACCATTTTTTGGCGTTAATTTTACAACGCACGCGAAGCTGATTAGGATCAGTTTCAACTACGTCACTCGCCTCGAGAGCCTAGAATTTAAAATGATAAATGAAAAGCAAGCTTTAGCATTATGCTCTAACAAAATATTTCAGAGTAAAATGACCAGACAAATATGTCTTAATAGAGGAATCGGAAGTTAGATATTCAGTTATCGAATAGTATTCCAATGGAGTAAGGTAGTATTCCAGAGAAAAGTAAAATGAAAAAAAACAGTGTATAGATTAATAAAAAAAATAAAAAGGTATTCACACCCAGGGTGGACCGCATTTTCGACCTCGCCTAGGCAAGCCAAGTATCTCCTAAACTAGATTTATAATGTGAGTGTTGATTGTATGGCTTAATAACTAGCCAGTTAAGTCTTGTCGGGTTGCTAATAACTTTTACACTTCTTCTACATAGATGACACAGATACAATTAAGTCTACTGGATTTTGTAGCGCCGTAAGTGTCACGTTAGCATAAAAGTCATAAACAGTATTCTTATCAGCAATATCTAGAATAAATGGTAGAACCCAGACTCAAGAAACTGAAAATAGATTAAATATTGGTTTAATTGATTTAATGCTAAGGTAAATTTATAGGGCACTAAAGGTTGAATACTCGATCCTGGTCATTGATATGAAGCTATACTGGGACTTTGAATATTACGATGAAATAGAGCGATAGAAATTAACAGATAATTTGAAAAAAATAAACCTTAAAAAATATGTATTCATCCTGTTTCGTTAAGGTGATAAGGGACTAGTAATTGAATTTTTAGACAAGAGTGAGTAGACCTTACGTTTCCATTTATTTGACAAAGCCTTGCTTCCCAAAATGTTTTGCCAGCCAGATTTGACTGCTGTTGCGACCTCGCCTATGAAGAATCAGCACCTTGACATGACTTGGACCATGGCAGTGCAATGTATGATTTCGACTAGTCAAGCTTAACTAAACAGGGTGAATACATCTAATATACACGATATACTAGTCATTTCGAAAACCTACCTATAGGCGAAAAATAAGTAACGTAGTCAATCGCTATAACAAATACAACTTTGCTTAATGGACAATCCTATTACAAAATGTGATATAGGAAAATACCTGGCCTCTCATGGAATTGACATCTACCCTGTGACCTAAGTGCACTGATGGCGTAGTGGTCAACGTTTCGGGACTGTACGCTGCATTATCAGGGTGCTAGTCCCGCTGTGGATGCTGATGAGACTTAGGCGAAGTCGAAACTACAGTCTATCCTGGATGAAGATATATTTTGTGAAGCGATGGAAAAATGAGGTATACTCATATCCTCGTGGGAAAGTTCAGCTAGCAATCCTTTATCACCTTAGTGAAACAGCATGAATATATCCCATATTTATAGCGGTAGTCTCGAAAACCTACTTTTATACGAAAAACTTAGCAAAATATTAAAAAAATTTAATCTGAAGAGAAATATTGCGAACGTTCAGCGAATCATCGAAGGCACTTGCCTTCGCTAGATAATCCCATGGACAGTGGGCAATGAAAGTAACCTTCCTGGGTCTACACATGTAAAATACTAGTAAAAATTTCAGATTCAAAACACAAACAACCAGGTACTTTGATTGCTAAGCTTAACATAGAGGTCAGAGGAAAAGTAGTATGCTCAAATGCGTGTCCTCATACCTATAGCATTACATTTAAATAGGAAGGATATAAACTTAAGTTTTCAATCGAAAGTAAAACTAGACA